CCCCCCCCGCACCCAGTTCAGCCCTGGTTCTGCCGCGCCGCCCTCCTTGATCTCTGCCGGACAGCCCCACTACCTCTAACCCTGCTTCCACTGCCTGCCCACCCGCCCAGATCTCCGCCCGACAGCCCCGCTACCCCCAACCCTGCTTTTGCCGCCCACCTGCCCAGATCTCCATGGGACAGCCCTGCTACCCCTAACCCTGCTTCGGCCGCCCACCCAGATCTCTGCTGGACAGCCCCGTGACCCCTAACCCTGCTTCCCTGCAGCTGGTTCTGGGCCCCCCCCCCCTCCACACACACACCTCCTCCCAGCCAGCCCTGCTCTGCTCCCCTCTCAGCAACTGGGCCTTAGCGTGGCATTTTTTTAGTTTGGGAAACACTGGTTTAAATCAATCAAAAGACTCCCATATTGAGCTCTCTGCCACAAAAGATACACTTTTAATATTAATAGCAGAAGAGATTTGTAACAACACAAACATCACTTTACAATTGCTAAAATACCATTCCAGAAAGAGGAACTTACTTTTGATGTACATGAATTGCAGATATCACAATGTTGGTTCCCTGAACTAACATATCGCTGACACACAGAGCAAAACCTGAAAAAGCAGTTACAAAAGCATTGGCCTGCTGTTTGCTCAAAGAACTTTATGAGTGGATTTTCAATTCAACAAATAAAGTTACATTATGGATTCTGTCGATGTTATGTCGACAGAACTTCGCAGGAGTGTAGACGCAAGTTGACAAAACCCTGTAGTCTAGATACACCCCCTATGTGCACGCACATGTGTGTGCGCGCACACACACACACACACACTGCAAGCATATCCTTTTACACCTCACCTGTAACCCTCTTCCACAGGAAGTACAATCATGCTGGGGGAAATGTTGGTGAATATGCGAACAGGAGACTGTTTACGGCCTGTCCTTCCATGTTTATAAAGAGCATGATTATCATAGTCTACCTAGAGAATAAAAGCACAGGACGAACAAATTAAATATCTTTACATTTCTTACCGAGTCCTATGCTAAATGAGCGGTGACGATGACATTTAACATGTTTATTCCATTTTGACAACACAAAAAAGTTTGTTAGACTCCATCCCCAATACAAACCAAGTAGCAAAATTAGATGATTACTAATTAGTCTGATTATACTACTGGGGCAACTGTGGAAGAGGATTTCCTAACAATCTAGTGCATCATCTTTTCTTTCCCCATCTGCACTGCAGAGCTAAGATTATTTTATAGTTGCCACGGAGGAGATAGGTGCATCTCCTTTGTTAAAATAATCCACTACTGCTGCTGATAGAGGAGTAGCAGTGTGGAGGGTGGGGGAGTGGGCGCGAGATGGTACACGTGAGAAGCCGACATTGAAGCCGGCTCCCCACACGTATCAGCTCCCTCTGAGTCACCTTCCCACTGCTGTCTCCCACAACGGCAGCAGCATGAAGGGGACAGCAGGAGGAAGCCGGGGCTGGGGAAGCTGATTTAAAAGCCAGCTCCCGCCTTCCCCACCACATGTAAATGTGTAGCTAAAATAGTCTAGCTATTACACATTTACACCAACAACTCTACCTTGGACACTATTAGAAGTACAGAACCAAAAATAACGAGCAGTCCTATGGCACCTTAGGGACTAACAAATACATTATATCATGAGCTTTCATGGGTAAAATCCAGTTCATCAAAAATGTATGCCAGTTTCCCAACTGCTTTAATTAGTAACCACTATATTTATATTAATACACAATTTTTAAAAAATTGTCATTTCTCTCCTCAGACTGTTGAACTAAAAAGCTAAAACAGGCTGGAAACCAGTTTATCACTGTTTCTCATGGGCTCTCGGCAGTCAATGTCATAATTTCACAACAGACCACAATCATGGATCAAATTTCTACAAGAGATCAAGCGCAGAATGTATTTTTTCCATCTTAAAAGTGTATTGTACAGCTCATTTAAATATTTCCTCAAACAAATATGCCATAACGCAATGCAGAAGCAATTAAAAAAAAAAATTACACAGATCTTGTTATGAGGAAACTGCCTTAATTCAGTAAGTAAGGAGATCTCTACCCACAATTTTATGTATCAACGGTGTTATACAGGTTATATACTGATGAGTACCATAGAAATACAATATTGTTAGGACTAAGTCATTTTACACAATAGTGTAAAAAAAGTATATGCATAATTCAATTTTAGTACAGAATATAAAAAAGAACGTTTCCAATGGTACAGAGATCCTATTTTTAGCCTTGATGGGTTGTGAGAAATAGATTTTCCGCTTTTCATTGGTCCAGGATTTAAAGTTACCCACTGAGCAGGTGAAGATTTGTAAGAGAAATTCCACACTAAGGGAAAGTAAGCAGTCTATTTGGGATTAATTTATTTATGACAGCTGTTTGAGTTAATCAAAGAGCTTGTCTTCAAAGGGACATTCAGGGCAAGTCTACACTTAAAATGTTGCAGTTCCACAGATGCGCCACTGTAGTGCTTTTATGAATACACTTTAAGTCAAAGGGGAGAGCTCTCTCATCAGTACAGTTAATCCACCTCCCCGAAAATCAGTAGCTATGTTGTCAGTGGGAGAGCTTCTTCTGCCATAGTGCTGTCTATATGGGGTGGAGGTTAGATTGGTATTACTATGTCGCTCAGGGGTGCAGATTTTTCACACTCCTGAGCAACACAGTTATACTGACAGAGGTTGGTAGGATAGAACAGACTATAGAAAAATTAATCCAATTTCACTAAAGGTGGGACCTTATAATGAAGTAGCTAACCTGCATTAAATTCCTGTTCAGATACACTTATTCAGAATTAAAGAAGCAATATTTACTTTGGACAGTCTAAAATGAATTAAGGCTACTTTAATTCTAAATTGGAATATCCACATAGGTTTAATTCAGTTTCACTATCCCACTTTAAATTCAGGCCTTAGGGCTAGTCTACGCTGAAAACTTACATTCCTTAGGGGTCTGAAAAATCCACATTTAGACATATAGCTATGCTTTCTTAAAAAGCATGGTGTTGGCAATGCTAGGTCAAAGGAAGAATTGTTCTGTTGACCTAACTATCATTTCTTGGGGAGATTAACTATAGTGACAGAACTACTTCCATCACTGTAGTAAGCGTCTACATTGAAGTGCTGAAACAGAGCTGTCATAACAAAGGATACGTCTACACTTAAAATGCTAATTCAGATTAACTTTCCTGAATATCCCCATTTGGGCAAGTCTAAAGCTTTGAACTGACTTCTGCCCATAAGTATTCTGATTATCACCAATCCAGCTCATTTTAAATTTCTTATACATGTAATGTAAATTAAGAACATAAATTATATTTGGTCATACCTGGTAATCCATCATACTAAAGCCTGGAAAAAATTCAAGAATGCGAGACTCAAAGAAGTATGGAAATATCCAAAAAATTGGTAAATCTTTGCTGCTGTGATCTATAATAAAATAAACAGATCCAGATATATTTTTTTGTTAAATAAAGGAAACAAAGAATGTATGCACTCAAAGCAAATATTATGCGCACAGCAATAGCTCATATGGAACCAATTCCATTAAGAGCACTCTTAAGTAAGTTGTCATGGGAGAAGAGGGAAGGTCCTTTCATGGGCTGATAACTGGTTAAAAGACAGGAAACAAAGGGTAGGAATAAATGGTAAGTTTTCAGAGTGGAGAGAGGTAATTATTGGGGTCAGCCAAGGATCTGTCCTGGAACCAATCCTTTTCAACATATTTATAACTGATCTAAAGCAGGGGTGAGCAAAAGGGCCTCTCCAGGCCAGATCTGGCCCACCAAATGGGTGGATCCAGCTCGTGGAGGCCCTGCCACTCCCCTGCCCCCAGGCCAATTAGGACCTGGAAAGGCACGCAATATTTCCTCCACCTTGCCAGGAGCATGTGGTGCTTGGAAGTGCCAGGTGCTCCCGACAGAACTGGAGGAGGTTTCGTGCACTCCTCCACCCCCAGGCCAATCAGGGCCTTGGGGCGGGGGAGCACGCAGTTTCCTCCGCCCTGGCCCCGCCCTGTGAGGAGCAAGCAGCACTTAGAAGTGCCAGAAGCACGTGGTGCTTTTAAGCGCAGTGCAGGGCAGGGACAGAGCAGAGGAAACTTTGCATGCTCCCCCGTCCCCAGGCCCTAATTGGCCTGGGGGAGCATGGGAAGTCTCCTTCAGCCAGGGGCATGGGCACCTAAGCAGAAGGAGGGGGCGGGTGGGCAGGCAAAGACACTCCCCGACCAATCATGGTCTGGGGAGGGGGAACCTGGAAGTATCCCAGTGCTGCCCCTTCCGCTTGAGGCCCCGCCCCTTCTGGCACAGCCAAGGGCCACTTCAGTAATTTTTGAAGTGGCCCCTGGCAAAAAATTATTGCCCACACCTGACCTAGAGAAAGGAACAAACAGTGAGGTGGCAAAAGTTGTAGATGACAAACTGCTCAAGATAAAAAGACCCAAAACAGACTGGGCAAAGCTTTAAAAAGATCTCACCAAACTAAATGATTGGGCAACAAAACAGCAAATGAAATTTTAATGTCAATAAATGTAAAGTAATGTACATTGGAAAAAATAATCCCAACTATACATACAATATAATGGAAACTAATTTAGCAACAACTACTCAAGAGAGAGATCTTGGAGTCATTGTGGATAGTTCTCTGAAAACATTCACTTAGTGTGCAACAGCAGTCAAAAAAGCAAACAGAATGTTAGGAATAATTAAAAAAGAAATAGAACACAAAACAGAAAATATCTTATTGTCTCCACAGAAAACCCTGGTACGCCCATATCATGAATGCTGCCTACAAATGTGGTCGCCTTATCTCAAAGATATATTGGCATTGGAAAAGGTTCAGAAAAAGCAACAAAACTTATTAGTGGTTTGGAACAGGCACGATATGAAGAGAGATTAAAAAGACTAGGACTTTTCAGCTTAGAAAAGAGGAGACAAAGGGGGGATATGGTAGAGGTCTATAAAATCATTTTTTCCACGCCACTCAAGAATGAGGAAAAGTTATTTACTTATTCCCACAATATAAGAACTAAGGGTCACCACATTAAATTAATAGGCAACAGGTTTAAAACAACCTCTGGAACTCCTTGCCAGAGGATGTTGTGAAGACTAGGACTTTTAATGGTTCAAAAATGAGCTAGATAGATTCATGGAGGTTAGGTCCATCAATGGCTATTGGCCAGAATAGGTAGGAATGGTATCTCTCACCTCTATCTGGAAATAGGGGGTGTTACAAGGAGGAAGGAGTAAAATTGTTCTCCTTGATCTCTAATGATAGGTCAAGGAGCAACAGATTTAAATTGCAGCAAGAGAGTTTTAGGTTGGACATTAGGAAAAACTTCCTAACTGTCAGGGTGGTTAAATACAGGAATAAATTGCCTTCAGAGGATGTGGAATCATCATCACTGGAGATATTTAAGAGCAGGTTAGATAGCCATAGGTATGATCTAGATCAGGGGTGGAGAACCTAAGACCCGGGGGCCAGATTCAGCCCCTGGCTTGCCTGGATCCAGCTCCCAAGGCTCAGGGCTCCATTCAGCATTGGGAAGCCCATGCTGCTGTCCCAACTCTCCTGCTGTCCCCTCGCAGGGCTGGAGCCTACAAAATTTACTAGCCTGCTCTCCCCCTCTCCTCCAAGCCTCTGGTGTGCAAGAGGAATATGGAGAATGTTTTTTCCCCTCTCTCAGTCGGGGAGCATCTCCGTGAGAGTTTTGGGTGTTTTTTTTTTTTTTTTTTCTACTTCTCATTTGTGTGCAGCCCTCAACTGATTTTTCTGTGGGTCAGTGACCCACAACCCCAAAAAGGGTCCCTACCCCGATCTAGATCATCCCTGATAGACATCTATCCAACCTCCTCTTAAATATCTCCAGTGATGGAGATTCCACAACCTCCCTAGGCAATTTATTCCAGTGATTAGCCACCCTAACAGTTAGGATGTTTTTCCTAATGTCCAACCTAAACCTTTCTTGCCACAATTTAAGCCTATTGCTTCTTGTCCTATCATCAGAGGATAAGGAGAACATTTTTTCTTCCTCCTCCTTGTAACACACTTTTAGATACTTGAAAACCACTACGATGTCTCCCTCTCAGTCTTCTCTTTTCTAAATTAAGCAAGCCCAAATCTTTCGGTGTTCCCTTTAATGAAATTAATAAAACGTGAATTGTCTTATCCTTCCATCAAAAGCTATGTATGGGATACATCCAGTCCACTTAATTAGCCTCATTAATATGGGTCCTACAATTGACAGGTACTTCTTCTGCTGTTTATATATATTGGTTTCTATTATTTCCACTCCAATTCATCTGATGAACTAAATAGAAGAACTAGAGGACACCAAATGAAATTAATGGGTAGCAGGTTTAAAACTAATAAAAGAAAGTTCTTCTTCACACAGCGTGTAGTCAACCTGTGGAACTCCTTGCCAGAGGAGGCAGTGAAGGCTAGGACTATAACAGAGTTTAAAGAGAAGCTAGATAATTTCATGGAGGTTAGGTCCATAAAAGGCTATTAACCAGGGGATAAAATGGTGTCCTTGGCCTCTGTCTGTCAGAGGCTGGAGAGGGATGGCAGGAGACAAATCGCTTGATCACTGTCTTCGGTCCACCCTCTCTGGGGCACCTGGTGTTGGCCACTGTCGGTAGACAGGATACTGGGCTAGATGGACCTTTGGTCTGACCCAGTACGGCCGTTCTTATGTTGTTATGTTCTTATGACATGGGTCATCAGCCCCCAACCCAAAAATGATTCCCCACCCAGTATAAATGGTACTTGGCCCTGCCATAAGGACAGGGGACTAGACTTCATGACCTCTCATGGTCCCTTCCAATTCTATGATTTTACAAAATTTGTGTGCATCCACTCAAGAGTAAGTTACAGTTTAAACCAGTAATTTATTATTACAGGTTGATAAAGTTATCAACGCCATCTTATTTGCTTGCAATACATACCTTCCCCTTGTACCTCTCTCCATGCTGCAATTAGCTTTTTAAAACTAAAAGCCAAGGGCTCCACCAAACCTCCAAATGGGGGATCAGTCACTAATATGACTCCTTCACCTTTCTCTTGATGCAAGAATTTTCTACAGATTTCATGTGCAGCCTACAAGAGATACAAGTTACCTTCCCAGAAAAAAGAGCTCAGCAAGATTAAATGACAGCATTGGCCATTTATATTTTTAGTAATTAGCAGTAGATTTGTAGATTGCCATTTCCAGCCAATGGGAGTTACCAAAAGCAGCACAGACTGGGACACCGCTTCTCACAGCTCCCATTGGCCAGGAACAGTAACCTGCAGCCAATGGGAGCTAAAATCGCCCATAACTACAGAGGCACGAGTACATTTAGTGGCAGCGGCCCACCAGAGGCTAACCCTGGGGGACAGGATCCAGTCCAATGGCTGGTATTTTCCCATCCCTCTACTACAGTATGGTTCTACTCCTGAAAGTGACCATAAATAAGACATGGTAGGATTGCATGTTTCTTTTCAATGATTTCCAGACCAAAAGTGCTTAGTATACCAGTAAAAAGCTGTTTTTCTAACTTTGTAAGCACTGTGTATTTGTCTTCATTTCAGAGAGCCAAGCTGAGATATTTTAATCTTGCACATCTGTATTAAATCCTGCTCTCAGTGAACCTTCATAAGTAGGAAGCTTGTTCCCTCTTCACTGTGTTAGATCTGCAAGACTAACAGGAATAAAAAAGCAGTAGTCAGCAGATAGCTCTCTGAAGATTCCAAGGAAATAACCTGCTGAAAAGGGTGTGGCTGTTTTTACAGTCACTTCTCAGAGCTAGAACAAGTACAAACAGAAAGATAAGGTACAGCTGAACTATGATCACTGAGCACACCAGTAACAGAGTGTAAATTACTAACTATATGGGGAAGTTAAGAAGGAACTTTTCCTGTGGATGGACTATTGTCCATTACAAGATTTCTTGCACCTTCCTCTGAAACATGTGGTTCTGACCACTGTCAAGACAAGATGCTGGACCACTGTTCTAATCCAGCATATTCTTAACTATGTTTCATTCCTTTATATTGCCCATTTATGCTTTTTCTTCCTTTCTTTGCTTATGTAAGAAAATAACCTGTACTAAAACTATTTCTTTTAAACAAAAAAATAAGTATTTAAAGAAAAAGTAACTACAATTATTTAAATAGTATTAATTAAAATAGGCACGGGGTATGCTTCTGTATAATGAGACACTACTATTCTTTGATATGAAGTAGAGTTTTCTGGTCATGACATTATGGTAACTATTTTGTAATATTTTTGACCACATCAATAATTTGGACAAAATTCTACATGAACAATATACATAGCTTTGAAAAAAACGTTCAGGGAATTTGATTGGCCCTTACCTCTCCACCAAAGAAATAATGGTTAAACATATTATAGTGGCAGAACTCTTCCTCTGTATAAAACTGTGAATACCTGTAAAGTAAGTTTTGAATGTAACATAATACATATACATAAATTTCTACATGTTAATAAGAAGATTTAGGATGAAAACTTGTGAGCACGAGGCCATTACTGCTTAATTATGAGTTATCTTGGCAGGCTGAGTGCAGAAGAAAAGTACTTACTTATATTGGTCAAACACTGAGCTAACTGAAAAACAAATATACTTCATGGGTCCTGGCCCCGAGTTAAAAAGCACAAAATTAAAAATTAATAGACCACACAGAAAAAAGTTTGCCTAAGTTCCCCATACAGACACATAGCAAAACCTACCTGAAATCAATATCTAGCAGAAGGCTTTTAACATCGGACTCCTGTTCTTGTGACGCTTTTAATCTGATCAATTCATGAAGCCTGAAGTAATTAAAGCAAAGCTGCTTAACATATATCATGAGTGTTTTCGAAAACAATCACCAATTATTTTCTACAGAAAACTTATTTTTCAGATGAAAGAGCATAATTTGGGAGATTTCAGTGTAATCTGTCTTTCAATTTCACTAATAATTGAAGTTAGAAAGAAGCATCTCATTAACTGAAAACTCAGTATCAGTGATAATAAAGCAGTGGATATTGTGGAACCTATCAGATGAATTTTTAATTCTAACATTTTTTTAAAAACAAAAAAATAAAAAAGGGGTTTTTTTGTGAGAAGGGGAAAACCAAGTGCACTTCAGTGCCATTACCAGAAAAGACAGCAAAACCCTACTTTCTAATGAAAGATGGCTGCCGGTGCTTCACTATAATATTTATAAGGACTTCTCTATCTGCATCTTCATAAGATCAAAAAGACTTCATGAACTGCTCTGAAAATACCTTAAACCAAAGGTCACGAAGGCATTTTAATGTCACATTCTGAAGGAGAGAACCCTTTACTTACACTGAATGTAAGTAAAAAGACTAAGCAAATTAATAACAAGCATTTCTTTCAAGATATATTGATGTTACCATACCTTGGTGTGCCAACACAGAGCACTCTTCTGAATCCTAATGCAATGATAAGGTCCAGCAAAAACTGACAACTTCTATCTGCAAACAGATACTGAGCATTTGTCTTCTTATTCTCCAGTGGACACAAAAGTTGACTGGGCCTTTGTAAATGGGCAACAGAGAGATCATGAAGTACCTGATGGTCAGAGTGTTTGTCCCACTCCATTGGCAATAGCAACTTCTGGCATTCTTGACAAAACTTCCTTTTTGATAACGGCAACAGAACAAATTCTTTATACCTTGAAATACAAAATAAAACAAGGAACCAATTTTACAAAACCAAACCACTGAATTAAGGCATGAAATTATTCCAGGTATTTTATAACAGTGTAAACAACATACTGTATTAGCACTATTTCAAAGGTTCTGCACCTCAATCAATGGTTAAGAAAAAAACGTTCAGCAGCATGCTTGGGAAAAGCCTCATTTGACAAGAGAAGAGTGCAGCATGAGGGTTAAGTGTGTTGCAAATCTCACCAGAAGCTGGTCTACATAGAGAAATGCCAATTTTTGCTTCCAGTTAAAGAGCAACTCCTTTAACTCAAATAGTAGAAGATTGTGATTTTAGTAGAAATGGTTCAAAGGATCTTAGTAACTGAATGCATTGGGACCATCTGACTTGTAGCAGCAACACTGTGTTTGAAGAGTCAGTTATAGGTCAGCAATACCCTCGGACTGGGGCAAAAACTTCTTCCAAAAACTCTGCAGTAGGATGACAAGCAAGACCCTTATAAAATATTTGGCAGTGCATATTTCCTTTGGGTTGTGCTATCAAGCTTATTTAGAAAATATAAGAATGAAGGCCAATATGCTCAACTAACTGCATTCACCACTCAATTTTAACTCCTGCTAGAGCTGACCTATTTATTACCTTAGTGCCCACAATCTGGTAGGCAATGCCGACTCATATAAAGATACAATCCCTGCCTGGATGAGATCATATTTTAAGGAAACATTTCATATAATTTGTCTTCATAGTTGACTGGTACGTATTTTCCAAAATCTTGTCTGTAATGTTCATATTTTTAATTAGCATAATGGAGGGATAATTAGCACAGCTGATGTACCTAAACTAACATGGACAAATTCACTAATGCAAATTCACATAGTAACAATACCTTTCCATGTTCTGTCTGTGCGACAAAGATGGTCGACAATTTCTGTTAACTTCTTTGCGTGCCAAAAGTCTAGCTTCTGACACCTGTATATATAAAAAAAAATGCAAAAGGAGAGATATGAACCTAACTATGCCATATGAAAGTTTCACACGTCTCTATTGAACAAAATATGGATTCCCAGAAGACTTCACATTTCCTCTTCAGCACCTGACTGTTTCTGCAAGAGATCCAACCACTCAGAAGGATTCCCACAATGCCTGGAGAGATCATGGCAGCATCTGACATACTGAAAAGATGATTTCCTGAAAGAATTCAAACATCCTATGAATTGATAAAAGCCAATTCTCTTCATGCTTCTACAATAAAGAAAACCAGGAGAAGAAAATAGAAAATGTTCACTGCTAAAGGATAACGCAGTGTAATTGGAATGCTAATCCCTGTAAACCTGGTCCTGTCACTGAGGACAATGGGAATTTAGCCATTGACTTCAAGAGTTGGGGATCGAAGTCCTCCAACTGTCCTGAAGGTATGACTGGCCCTTCCCAAGTATTTAGAAATCTTTATTTTATTCTTATGAGAAATTCACGCTTCCCATCAGATTTTAGTTAACCTTTTTAATGTAGCTGCAGAACAGCTACAAAGAAGTCACAATATTAGTTTACTTAAAGGACACAATGGAAGGCAGTAAAGTTTAATGGACTGGGAACCAAGAATCCTGTAATAGTGGCTTTATAAAATATGTATAATGTCTGTCTTGACATATCTATCCACAAGCAACATCACGTCAATCAACACAATCCAGGGAATAGCCATCACACACAATTTTCAAGACAGACAACTGTTCATCACTTCCAAACAGCCGGTTTTCAATAGCAGATTAAGGTGTAAGAATCTGACTATTAAACTTCTACGCCAATATCATCCCTTCCCCCACCCCCAAGAAGTGAGTTTTAAGCTATCTGTCTCCTCTGAGTCCACCAGCACTCATCAATCTTAAGTTAAAATTCTTTTTAAATTGACTGAGCAGACATACAAATTAGGAAAGGATGCAACAAACTGTGTTGAGTTTTGTAATATTCATACAGAGCGACATTTAACCTCAGCTATACGTTCTTTGAAAGCAAATCCTATTTGAAACTGTATCCCCAGAACTACAGGGGTATTTTATCATTTAGCCCATTCTCTGTCCAACAATTTGCACCACTTTAGAAACAGTAAATATTGCTTCTCTAAAGGAAATCTTGAGTTCCAATATCAAAAGAAATGTAACATTTGCCATATCTTAAATAGTATTTTCTTACCTTCTCATTTTCCCATTGAAAAAAATTACAGTCTTTTCTATCTCTACATGCTGAACAAGCATAAAATCTTCTTCCCTCTTCTTTACCTTGGCTAATCTTTACAAATAGAAGTGTGGGACCTAAAAAAGAAATGGGCTGAGATCAGTATATTCAAATAAAAAAATGCCCTTTGCTACAACACTAGATATATTTATGGCAGAAATCCCACTTTCATTTTGAGGCCATATTTCCAGCATCTGTAAACTTTCTCCTGAAATATTTTGACCTGAAATGTCTCGTGCTTGTTCTCCGCCCAGAAATACATGCTGGATAATCAGAGACAGTAATAAAAGCACATGAATTAATTGCAATGACTAGACATTGAAGCAAATGCATAAAGTGTGTTTGACATGAATCTTTGTGCTTTTAAATAGACTCATGATCAAATAAAAGTAATTTATTTATGCATTTCAGGTACTAGTGCTGCAAATAACTCAAGAGAAATTCCATTTTCCCATGCATCTCCACTTTTTTCCTGTTTTAATTCAATTAATGCAGAACCTCTACATATGGGCCTAATATTTGAATTCTGAGTTGGAGGGGGAGTGTATATTTTAAAATAGTGTGGGGAAAAAACCATCCTATCCATATGCATAAGTCAATGAGCAGGAAAAGGGCAGTTTAAAGGATAACTTTTTCAAAAGTATAAACAATATAAATATGTTGCACTTGAAGAGCAGCCCAATCTCAAGAATTTTTTATACTACCGGGCTCATCTGGACTTTTTCCATGAGAAGAACATGCCGTAAAAAACCACAGCAACTTTGGAGCATACTAATACACAGATCCGTTAATGTGAAGCACAGAAAAACAACACTATTTAAATACACAACATTTGCCACAAATCAGACTTCAGTTATCAAATCCCAGCAGGTGCCCTAACTCTGCTAACCGCAAGTGCAAAGGAACAATTTGGTGGAGGAGGAAAAACACTGCACAAGAAACAAAAGCCAAAAATCTGCCAAAAGAAAACTCAAAACAGCTTCATCCTCACTCGTGCTGCCTGCAGCACCGCTCTGCTCCAATCAGCCCCATGTCTCTCCACCCCCTTCCCGGCCCCTAGTCTCTCTGCCCATCAATCTGGGCCGCCCTCGGCTCCCTTGCAACCAGGCCCTTTGCTGTCCTCCCCGAGGCATCTTCCCCACATGCCCCCTGCAACTA